GAGAGGTGGCGCCGGGGGGGTCCGGTCCACCCTCTTTGGGCCGCGCCTGGTTTTGTAGGCTTGGGTGACGGCTTGGGTCGTGGCCTGAGCCGAAGCCTTACCCAGGGCTCTGTTGCCTTCCCGAGAAGAGAGGATCGGCGCTGTCAGCAGAATTCAAGATGTGAGCAGATCATGGATCTTTACCGTGCCATAAAGATGTGTTCTGTTTTGATACGGTTTTTTCCCCTCTCCTTATAATGCCATGGTTTGATTTTACTCTTTTTTTTTTTTTTTTTTCTGCTGCTGTTGAGCGTTAGGCTTGCGGTTCTGCTTGTGTGGAGCTGCTCCAACCTGGGGTCTTGCCGCTGGATGGTAGCGGTTTGTCAGAACCTGTTAACAAGGGAAGCTGGATTTTTTTCCCCCATATATAAAAATGGCATTTATTGTGTTATCTGCCGTGTTTGTCACTTTTAGTGTCATGAGGTCTTTCTGGGATTATTCAGTCAGCCCTTTTTCTTTCTATTCTGAATGCCCTAATGTTATTGGCAGACTTTGCCCTTTTGTTACTAGCTTGTTTTCTTAGATTTTACAACTCGTGAAGTTCAGTATATTCATAAATGTCAAATTAGTATCTGTAGCTTTACTTGTGGCTGGCACCTGAATGGATACTTTGTTTTACTTTTTTTTCTTTTTAAGACATAATTCTTTTAAGCTTGTTTCTCCTTAATATCCCAATGGACTTCTGAACAATTGGCTGAGTACAGCTAAAATGTCCACAGTTTATCCTAATGTTCATTTAGATGTGAATACTTTCAGCTGTCTATTTCCTGTAACCATTCTGTAACCTAAGCATTCGCAGAATTGAAATATTCAAGCATGCATGGTATGGATAAAACCAATGTCATATTGGGGGGGGGAGATATTTCTGGGGTACATTTCTTGCTGGGGGGGGAGATATTTCTGGGGTACATTTCTTGCTGTTGCTCTCTATTCTGAATCAGTAGTGTTCTTTCTCTTCATCAGCTATAATCCTTTACTTATATTGTTGAGGAACAGAATGTGGAATGGTAACTTAAATACAGCGTCTCCAGACAAACACATTTAAGTGTGGATGAGATAAAGCTACACAGAAACTGAATGTTAAGAGCTCATTTAAAAGAAACATTTTTCAGTTGTAAATATCAATTTCCCTTTTTTTTCTTGCTGCTTAGAATTCTTTTTAATTTTCCATATGTCTCCAAATCATTTGTAGTCAGCGTTTCAATGACTGTTTCCCACACAAACAGCCTTCTGAGAGATCTGTCCTTCCTAGCTTCCAATTTATTGCTTATAGTTCATTCCTCGCTCACTGGCCAAATAGCTAACTTAAAATGAAGTTTAAGACAGCATTACCTTCGTTATTCTATCTACAATATGAGAAACACTTAAATTCTAGTGAGGCTATGGACTTGCTTGCAGTACATAGCCTTGAAGCCTGTGCTCCTGCATGAGCATACTGCACCAGCAGCATGGCTAATACTACAAAATAATATATCTATTATTCTGAGAGCTGATCTGTGCGTCTGGTGCTTCTACAAGCATAATTATGACAGTAAGGTGCCTGTGTGACTTTTTTTTTTTTTTTTTCCCTCAGACAGTTTGTAGAACCATGACTTTTTTTTTAATGTTAACTTATTCCAGTTCAACAAGTGGTATTGCTCTAACAGGTTTTATACAAAGGTATATGCAGTTGTACTAAGGTTATAAGTGTAAGCCAGCTAAAACCTCTTCAGCAGAGACAAAACTGCACATTACTATTAAACTATTCCTGTCTAATAACATGTTCTGACAAGATCAAGCATCTGGGTCAGTGAGTTGTTTCCTTTCCCACTCACCTGGCTGTTTTCCCTTTTATTTTAAACAGTGCCCTGATGTCTCAGATATTTTTACTAATACCTG